GAGGCGGAGGTTGCGGTGAGCCGAGATCGCGCCATTGCACTCCAGCCTGGGTAACAAGAGCGAAACTCCGTCCCAAAAAAAAAAATAAATAAATAAAAATAAAAAATAAAAAAATAAAAAATAAAAAATAAAAACAGGATAAAGCGTGAAAACACTGAGTGCTGCGGTTCCCTTCCGCTTCTGAAGGATCATTTTGCTTTGTTACACTTCGCTTCGGTATCCAGTTTTTGAGCGTGGGGAACTTTCTGGCCAGAGCTGCTGCCAGGGGCTGCCAGGGCCGACGCCGTGCGCTTTTCCTCCACGGATTCTCTGCGGGGACTGCGCCGGGACCCCGAAGTCGCCCCGCCCGCGGCCGCCTGCACCCGCCCAGCGAAGCCCTGCCCAGGGCGGTGACCTCCGGGCCCACCGGACTCACCTGTTTGAAGCAGAAGGGCATGGTGAGGACACTGACCCCTACGATGCTGTTCACGATGTTCGTGATCAGCCCCCAGTTGGAGGCGGCGGCCGCGGTCATAGTGAGAGGTCCAGGGCCGCCGGGCTGCAGCCGGCTTTGGGAGCCCTGCCCAAGGCCAAGGTCACAGGTCCCAACGTCCAGAACACCACTGGGGCGGGGATGGGCAGGGGCACGGGAGCCTGAGCAGGCGCGGGCGCGGGCCCCGGAGGCTGCCCGGAGGAGGCGGCCTCGAGGGCCGGAGCGGGGGCGACGTCAACCTCCGGACCCCGCCAGGCTCTGCAGCCGCCTCAGGGCCATGCGTTCCTCTCCTGTGACTCTCCGAGCCCAGAGCCGGAACAGCCGCGGAGCCAGCTAAGGCCACCTCAGCCACACTCAGCCGCCTCGGCGGCTCTCACACTTCCGCCTTCCGCGGGCTCCGCTGTCCGGAAGTGACGACGGGAGGGGCGGGGCTTAGCGGGACGCGAGCCAATGAGAGGCGGACTCGGAAGGGCGGGCGGAAACTGGGCGGGGGGAACCCTACGGCCGCGCGAACGCTATGGCCGCGCAGCTGCCGGGTGCTCGGATCTGGTCCAGCAGAGCTGTGCCCAGGGACCCACTTCAACTGGAGCTGGACAACAAGGGATCGCCCCGCTAGGCCTCGATTTGGAAGGGCAGTCGCGGACTGGAGGGAAAGGGAGGCGCTGTGCCCTCCGGGGAGGAGCAGATTTAAGGGTTCCTTTTCGGCCTTTACCCCCAGGTCCGATTTTGGGGCGAGTGCTTGGTGCCGGGGCACTGGCGGGGGGAAGTCGAAAATTAGCCTGTTCTGAGCAATTAGCACCTACGAGGTAGGGATGAAACGCTAGGCACAGAGAGGCTCGGCCACTCGCTAAGGCCAGAGACTTCTACGGAGACGCGGTGCACTTCAGAGCTAAGCCCAGAGCAGCAGCAGTGGAGAACTTCACCTTCTCATACGAAAAGAGCAAGGGACATGCCGGGAGGGGACAGGAGGGGTGGAGGCTTTCATGACCCGAGAAACCCGGGAGGGCTTCCAGAAGGAGGTGGCTTCTAGGCTGCCGCTTGAAGGACAGATGAGAATTCCTGGGGTAGAAATGGAGGCCGGGGAGAGGAGACAACAGAGAAGGGTCCTGATAGACCTGTGGATTCCTGGCACCTAGCAGCTCACCCTGAGTCTGCTGACAGCGCGTATACCAGAGGGCTGGGGAGGAGGCCGGAGGAAGGGAGGCTGTGTCTGCAGCACCTGCTGGACCAGGTGTCTTAGAACAGAGGCCATTTCCTCAGCCACGTAAGGCTGTACCCCACCCTCAGGAGAAGAACAAGAGGAAATGCCAGGGTAAAGACTAATTAAATTCCCAAGCAAAATAATAAATGCTGATTCATTTTTAAAAATTTTTTTGAGTCAGCGTCTCCCTCTGTCGCCCAGGTTGTAGTGCAGTTGTGCGATCTCAGCTCACTACAACCTCCGCCTCCCGGGTTCAAGCTGTTCTCGTGCCTCAGCCTCCCAAGTAGCTGGAATTGCAGGCGCCCCCGCCCCAACGCCCGGCTAATTTTTGGATTTCTTGTAGAGGCGGGGTTTCACCATGCTGGCTAGGCTGGTCTAGAATTCCCGACCTCAGATGATCCACCCACCTCGGCCTCCCAAAATGCTGGGATTACAGGTGTGAACCACCGCACGCAGCCCATTTGCTTTTATATAAACGAAATACGCACACATCCATAACCTTTTTATTATGTATAAAATGTTATGCGTGCACGATAGGCTGTGACACTTGAATGTATGTTTTAACAAATAACAATAAATACCGTAAACCTGCTATTCGGCTTTAAGAACAAAAACTACCAGGGACTGAGATCCTTCCTTTCAGCTCCTCCCCAGCTGCACCTCTCCCCTGCTCTCCTGGGATCACCACAATCCAGATTTTATCAATTCATTACTTTTCTTTAAAGGTTTACCTTTTTTTTTTTTTTTTTGAGACAGAGTCTCACACTGTTGCCCAGTTTGGAGTGCAGTGGCGCAGTCTCATCTTACTGCAGCCTCTGCCTCTTGGGCTCAAGTGATCCTCCCACTTCAGGCCCTCAGTAGCTAAAACTACAGGTGTGTGCCACCATGCCCAGCTAATTTTTAAATTTTTTTGTAGAGATGGGGATTTGCCATGTTGCCCAGGCTGGTCTCAAACTCCTGGGCTCAAGCGATCTGCCTGTCTCAGCCTCCCAAAGTGCTAGGATTACAGAGGTGAGCCACCATGCCCAGCCAACTATTCGTCTCTTAATTGTAGTTTATTCCATTTTCCAAATTAATACGGATTGGCCTGCATGTATGACTGCCTAGGATAAAGAATACACTTCCTGTGTCCTTGCAGGCAGGGTTCTGGACAATGAGAAGTGAGCAGAAATGACAGGACAAATGTCTAGGGCATTTCTTGGGAGAGGGTCTGCCGCTCCCTTCATCCTGCTGCTTGGAAGCCAGATATGATGGGAGGAAGCCGTCTCAGACAGTGCAGACAGCATGATAGCATGGCAGAGTGCAGCACCAAGCTAGGAGGATCCTGGGTCCCTGGACAGCTCGTGGAGCCAAGTTGCCATGCCCATCCCTGACTACCTCCTCCCCGCTGCGCCAGGAGGGAGAGGCAAGCCCACTCTTGCACTACTCACCATTCTTTCGGACGCTGTTTCATGAATCCAAAGCTGTAGCCTAACTAGTTCAGCAGTGTACCGGGATAGGGCGCCTTTCCACCTTGAACAATTGTAAGAATTGAATTACAGAGCCCAGGCACGGTGGCTCACACCTGTAATCCCAGCACTTTGGGAGGCCGAGGCGGGCGGATCACAAGGTCAAGAGATTGAGACCATCCTGGCCAACGTGGTGAAACGCTGTCTCTACTAAAATATAAAAATTAGCTTGGCATGGTGGCGGGCGTCTAATCCCAGCTACTCAGAAGGCTGAGGCAGGAGAATTGCTTGAACCTGGGAGGCGGAGGTTGCAGTGAGCTGAGATCACGCCACTACACTGCAGCCTCGCACCTGGCAACAGAGTGAGACTCTGTCTCCAAAATAAAAAAATTGAATTACAGATATGTGCCCTTCTGCAACTTTCATTTTCATTCAACTTTGTTTACGAGAGTCGCCATCATGTTGCAGTGCTCTGAATCTCATGCTTGCTGCTCTGTGGAGCTTCGTTTCTTAAATAGCTCAGATACGCATCCACTCTCCCGCGGAGAGCACCTGAGCTGTTTCCAGTCGCTTGCCTTGGAAATAGTGATGCGGTAAACATACTTGCCTCCTTCATGTGTATTTGTTAGTTTCTCCAGGGTAAATACCTGGCAGTGGAATCGCAGGATCAAGCATATGCATACCTGTGACTTTACGAGATATTGCCAAATTGCTCTTCAAAGTAGCTGTAAGAGCTCTTCCTGGTTTACGTCAAAGGTTGGCAAACTTTCTAGAAAGAGTCAGATTGTAAATATTTTTTGCCCTGCAGGCAAAATGGTCTCTCGCAATTGTTCAGTTGTGTCATTAAATGTCTCTCGAAATGCCAAATGGTCTCACAAATACTCAGTTCTGCCGTTGCAGGTCAGAAGCAGCCGTAGACAATATGTAAACAAGTGGGCGTGTCTGTGTTCCAATAAAACTTTATTTACAAAAACAGCAGCTGGTCCAGTGTGGTCCCAGGGCTGTAGCTTGTGGGCCTCTGCTCCAATGTTCGGTTATTGGCAGTTTGACCAATACGGTGAATGAAATGAAATCTCTGTGGCTCTAATTTTCTCTAATTACAAATGAGGTTAATTGTTTATTCACATTTTCATTGTCCATTTTTCTTCTGTGAAATGCTTACTTACTTTTGCTCTTTTTCCTGTTGAGCTGTTTGTTCTGAGGAATTTCGGTGCTTGATAACCAACACTGTGTCCTTCAATTTGGGTTTGATGTCTTTTCATTGCAATAGTTTTCTTTAAAACAAATTGCCACAAACTAAGCCGATTAAACAACACAGATTCATTCCGTCTGGTTTCTGGAGGTCAGACTGAGGTGTCGGCTGGCTGCCTTCCTTTCTGGAAGGTTCGGGAGAGAGTGCTTCCTGCTCTGTGGTCGTTGGCTGGGTCCAGCTCCTTAGGGTCACAGGTCCACGGTTCCTGTTTTCATGCCGGCTGTCCCCTGAGGCCGTCCGCAGCTTCTGAAGTCCTCCTGTTCCCTGCTCACAGCCCCCTTCCCTACCTTCCCACCTTCCCCATGGCGAGGACCCAGTCCCGTTCCTCTCCAGCCCAGCTGAGGTTTTCCAATTCTGAGGATTCCTGTGATTAGATGAGGCCCGTCTAGATAATCCAGGATCATCTCTCGTCTCAGGGTCTGGAACCTGAATCACATCTGCAAAGTCCTTTTTGCCGTGTGAGGTCACATATTCACAGGTTCCGGGATTACAGTGCACATCCTCAGGGGCGGTGATGCTGCCTGCCACCCTCACGGGCAGATTCTGGCTATGTGTCTCTGCCACAGAAGTGAGGCCCCTCGTCCCACCTGTGGTGCACAGTGGCCGTGTGGCCCAGGGCTCCTGAGCTTCCGGTCATCTGCTGGGCTAGGTTTCTCCTCCCAGCGTCCCCTTCTCTGGAGCTGTGCGTGCTTTCTGGGGGTGGGAGCATCTTCCAAATTCAGTGTCCTGTGGCTTCCTGAGCTTTCAGTCTCATCAGTATGGGCTCAGGGTTCCTACCTTTCTCCGTGGTCAGGACCCGTGACTGTCGCTATTGAGATGATGCTCAGGTTGTCCCAGGCTTGGCCCTTGGTCCTTCCGTGTGTCCTGCTGTGCTCCCAGCATTCTTGCTTCCCGGCCCCATGGATATTCTTGTGCTTTTCCTGCCCAGGCTGGGCTCAGCCGTTTCTCCCAGGAGCCCTGGTTTCTGGGAGGGGGAACCTCCTGAGGGGAGGGGGGTTAGTAGCCGAGATCTGGGATCTGGGAGCTGGGTGTGCTCCTGGCTCCTCAGTTCCCGCTGGAGAGAGCCAGAAGAGATGTTGCAGAGGTGTGTGTTTATGGTGTGTGTGTGTGGTATGTGTGGGTGTGTTATGTCTACGGTGTGTGTGTGTGTAGGGTACATGTGTCTATATGTGTGTATGTATACTGTGTGTGGTGTGTATGGCCATGTATGATGTGGAGGGTGCATGTGTGTGTGTGTATAGTGTGTGTGCATGGTGCCTGTGTGCATGTGCATGGTACATGTGTGAGTGGATGGTGTGTTGTGTGTGTGTGGATGGTGCATGTGTGGGTGGATGGTGTGTTTGTGTGTGTGTGGATGATGCATGTGTGGGTGGATGCTGTGTTGTGCATGTGTGTGCATGATGCGTGTGTGTGTGGATGGTGCATGTGTGGGTGGATGCTGTGTTGTGCATGTGTGTGCATGATGCGTGTGTGGGTGGATGGTGCATGTGTGGG